TGAAATTTTACTTTTCATGTAGTTGTTATGTTTTTATATTTCAGAACTGATGGGTTTGTGAAAGCTTGGGTTCCCAAATTTAATGCAATTTTGAAAGAATCAACTCTTTCATCCATATTGTACTTATGCTGCCATTAATTTGTAGGTACAGTGCTAGTTATATAGCTTGCATTTTTTCGTTGAATTTCGATTGGTGATGCCTTCTTATCAATTGCTTTACTCATGTCGTCAAAAGTGATAAAAAATTTGCATATGCTATTTGCTGTAAGCCTGAATTTTATTGTAAACTTTCCCTACCTTGATGTTGGAAAAAATCTGGATTGCATTCATCATTATTCATTAGTTTTGGTTCATCAGATGATAGACACTCTTATTTGCATAAAGCTGACTGAATATCTTGATTTTGAGTTTGACAGTTAAAATATAACGCTGATTGAACATCAAGAAATGCTTTTAGGTTATGCATCAACACTTTAGAAAGTGTTCAAAATGTTTTAAAAAATCAAGTTTTGTTATTTGTAATAGATGTAAGGATTTTTGAGGTTTTTCTTCATTTTGGGTTCTGCAAAAGCATGAATNTTTGGGTTATGCATCAAAACTTTAGAAAGTGTTCAAAATGTTTTATAAAATCAAGTTTTGTTATTTGTAATTGATGTAAGGATTTTTGAGGTTTTTCTTCATTTTGGGTTCTGTAAAAGCAAGGTTAATCCCCTAGATGGTCACTCAACTTTGTCGAAAGTCCCCAAGAAGTCACTAAACTTTATAATTCCCCTAGTTAGTCACTGAACTTTGCCAAATTGGACCCCAGCCATCACCGACTTGATGCCAATAGTAAAATCTGACCATTTTATACACATGTCCAACATTTTATTGCCAAGTAAGCATCTGGTTGCTGAGGTGGAAAATACCTAAAGATTAACACTTTTTTTAAAGCTGGAAATAAAAAATAAAAAACAAAAAACAAAGAAAAAGACGGGAATCAATCCCATTTAACTTGCCAAAGCCCTTATTTTTCCCCCAATTGCAAAATCCACTAAATTCCTCTCATTCCTCTCATCCCCGTCGCCGACAAGAAGCGTCTCCAAATCGAAAATCGACTGGACATCGTCGTTGCAATGGAAGTTGACCAAGCATTTAAGGCCACTTTATGTGAAGGCCTTGGTCAATGGAATACCCGTGGTGAAAGTGCTTATTAATAATGGGGCCGCCATAAATACTATCCCATTAAGGATGATGAGGAAATTCGCGAAGACAGAGGATGACATGATCCCAACAGAAGTCATTCTCACAAGCTTTAATGGGGGAGCAACTTCGGCCAAGGGAGTAATGCCACTAGATATAACTGTGGGAACAACTACTAGGACCACAGTTTTCTTTGTCATTGAT